TTAGGTATCACCTTCTCTTTACGACCAGAAGAGTCAGGTCAGGAATTCTTGCCAAATTCACATCTTGACTCCATCAATGGTATCATGGGTGCCACAAACTCTGGGAGGTCTGAATTCATTCTCTAAGCACAGTCCCAAGTGTTACACAATCCACTGATGCAACAGAACTCTACCTCAGGCCTGTAATTTTTTAAGTCTATAGAGTCACTTGAAAGGAGCTCTGGTAGCGTAGTGGTTACGAGTAGGGCTGTTACCTTCAAGGTCAGCAGTTCGCAACTACCAGCTGTTCTGCAAGAGAAAGAAGAAGCTTTCTGCTCCAGCTATTCTGCAGGAGAAAGAAGAAGCTTTCTGCTCCTTTAAGATTTACAGCCTCGAAAACCCTATGCAGAGTCGCTATGAGTCGGAACAGACTCCACATCACACAACCACCACCACCACCATAGAGTTACTTTAAAAGACAGTCATTTATGCAAATGATCACCCAACCACTATTTTAAAAGCAAGTAATACTGAGTCCTGCTGTGGCTCTATAGGATAAGCACTGGACAACAAGGGGTGGTGTGAACCACAGGGTTGGCAGTTCAAACTCACTAGCCATTCCTCAGAAACCCTATACAAGGTTGCTATGAGTTAGACCAACTCAACAGCACCTAACAGCAACAACATACTATTAAGTGGGTCTAGATTACAAAATAATTTACTATGTCTTATATTTGACCAAAGAGATTCAACAACTCCCAATTTTAACTAAAAAGTATTTTGTAGACTTTATGCTAACCAAAATTATGCATGATACAAGGAGGCAACAAAAAGTTCATGGAAAAATTCCATTATCTTTTCATTCCATTTGTCAGTGAACTTTTGGAAGCCCCTTTGCATGGGGCTGTGGGTTACTGTGCTAGAAGTCGGTTTGAACTTCAAGGTCGGCAGTTCAAGTTCACCAGCCACTCCTCCAAAACCCTACACAGGGTCACTATGGGTCAGATTAGACTCTGTGGCACTCAACAAAAGCAAAAAGATTAAAAAAAAAAAAATCTGTTTTTTAAACAAGGAAGATTCAAATGTTAATATTAACAAGAGTCAATCAGCAAAATTACAAAAAGACTATTCACTGCAATCCTCTTTTTAGTACATTTAAAAACTACCCATATGTCCATCAATACATTGAATAACTGTGGAAAGGAACAAAGCAAATAAGTAAATGCATTTGATGGCTTTAAGAAGTAGGACTTTTTTGGCATGTTATAAAGAAGATAAAGAGGTAATACTGATGAAGTTCGTAAAACCTCTGAAGTTCTAAATTTGAATTGGAAATATCTGTTTGTCTCATAATATATTTTATTTCAAGAGAAAAAGAAATGTGCCCTTTCTAGATTTCAAACCTGAGAAGATCTTAAAACAACCAAACTAGTAGCACTGAGCACCTCTGGTGTCTAGTGTATAGTCTCTAAATACCCTGTCACAATAGAAACTGAGAGGAGAGGAAAGAGAGAGAGAAATACTAACGATTTGAAGAAATGGCTGATTCTAGTTCTGACATGGGAAACATAAAACCTTATGACAATTTATCACACTAGAAAGTGAGGAAACTAACAAAGACTGCCAGAGTTGCATAAGAAGGATGAGAAGCCAACTTACAAAGGTTTCCACTAGCCAAAAATGGGGCAACTTGAGCAACAAAAACAATTTTTATATAACTTCAAATGTGTTAAAAATCCATCCATACACACACACACAAATATTCCACAAAACTGGAGAATGGTACTTTTGAAAACTGCCTAGTAAAAAGAAATCGATCATTTATCTTGACTTGGTGATAGACATCTTCTCTTTATAGAAATATGCAAACTCTGCTAGTAAATAATTAAGAGGGAATGATAGAAATGAGAGTATCTTTGCTTTAAAGCTACTCCCAGCATAGTGCTATAGGATAAGCACTGGACTGCTAACTACAAGGATGGGGTTCAAACCCATCAGTGTCTCCCTGGAAACCCTAGACAGAGTTACTATGAGTCAACAATGACTAAATGGATCTAGGCCATACTTATCATTGGTTACTAACAAAACAGAGAAACAACAGGACACATATGCACTTCCTGACACCACCACAAATGCAGTCTTGCAAGAAAAAAAGAAACCTCTATCTGATAAAGCTTCTAGATGTAGTAACTTACAAGAAATACAAGGGACAAAGAACGTGCTAAATGCCACCACAAAGATGTAATCAGCAAAACCCAAACCAGTAGTAAGTAGGTCTTAAGACAAAAGATCTATTTTCTCAACAACAAAAGCAAAAGAAAGCTAAAAAGATTAAAAGGGATTTAACATCTTTAAATGACAAGAGCTACTTACACATAATTAACCAACCACAATACATGGAGCTTATTTCAATGATGATTCAAAACACAATTTTTTAAAAACTTTAAGACAACTGGTGTCATCTAAAAAATGAATGGATGGTTGGTTCATTTTTATCTTTTCTAGATGTGGGAATAGTATTTTCATCCTTTTTGAAAGGATTTTAAAATCTTACAGGTTTTTATAGAAATACATATGGGATAACTGATGAAACTGACAATGGTACATGGGAGGTTCTTACACAAATTTGATTTCCTGTATTTACATTTTGAAATTTCATGAAAAAGAGTAGCACTTCCCAATTCAAACTAGAAATACATAACTATTTTTATGCAAATAAAGTGCATGTTATATATTTTTTTGCCAATCACTCAACCCCCCTCCATCTCGCTAATTTTCTAAGTGCTCTATGCTGGTTGTTATATGGGTGGGTGCATTATTTCCATGGATGCATTATTTGCAAAAAAAAATACAGTACATACGTACATGTGTGCATGTGTATTGGAAATATGGAACAGTCACTGCGTGGTAATATTAAGGAATTATTGTTAATACTTTAAGTAAGATATTCAGTTAGAACCTTTTCTGTTTTTTAAAAGATTCCTATCATTTAGATAGTCCTAGTATAGTGCTGTAGGATACGCACTGAACTGCTAAGTGCAAGGTTGGCAGTTCCAAACCACTAGCTGCTCCTCAGAAACCCTATGAGTTGGAACCAACTCAAGAGCACTTAAGAACAACATTTTAAAGAGATAATGACATGCTTTCAAATAAAACTATATCTGGGATCTGTCTCAAGGTAAGCAGGGCTGGGCAAGGAAGCAGTGCAGTTAAAAAGTACTGGCCAACTAGCAACAACTGTTCGTGTTCACTGATTATACTATTATACTATTCTCACTGTTTCTCTATACATAGGTGAAATTTCCTGTAATAAAAGTTCTCCAAAATACTTCCTGCCAACTTTGAAGTGGTGGTAATGGTAGTTGTGTGCTACCAAGTCGGTTCCAACTCACAGAGATCCTGAATAGGGTTTCTGAGGCTATAAATCTTTACAAGAGCAGAAAGCATCACCCTTCTCCCGCAAAATGGCTGGTAGATTCAAACAATGGACCTTGCAGTTAGCAGCCCAACACGCAACCCAGTACTCCACTAGAGCTCCTTTTGTAAAACCTCTGTACCATCCCATCTTACCTTACGAGGCTTTATAAAGACTATATGAAATGAAGGCAATGGATAGAGGGACCACTGAAACACTGCCTGGTCTTATCTAGGCAGCCAAGTAGAACAAGAGGAGCAGTGAGATACCATCAGCTTCTCATCACTGGTTTCCCTCTCTCAACACAGAAATTCTGTCCAGACTGTTCTCCATGCTGAGCATGCAGCTTAAGAAATAATGTTTGAATGAAAGAGTAAGCCTGAGTTCAAGTCCTATTGAGTAATGCTGAGCAGGGACTGTGAGTGTTCTATCTACACCCATCTCTAGATCCGAAATTCAATCAATACCTGTTGTACAGAGGTTGGACAATTTACTTCACACCTCACTGAACCTAAGGCTTCTCATCTATTAAAAGAAGATAATACCTACCTCGCCAATTTATACTGGCATAATGTTACTGAAAGGACTTCACTTGTCCACTCGTTCATTCATTCTGCAACTTTTCATAAATTCTCAAGTCCTGGTGTGGTGCTGTAGCATAAGCACTGGACTGCTAATCTCAATGTCAATGATTCAAACCCACCAAGTGGCTGTTGAGCCTGAACCGCTGACCTTGCAGTTTAAACCGACCTGACAGTCCAGAGCATAAACCCCCAGCGTCACACCAGGACCCATTTTAAATGTAAATGTTCATTCAACAGACATAGTTAAATGTAAACATTCATTCAACAGACATTTATAGAGTTTCTACTATGTCCTAGGCACTGTGCCTATGTACTAAGGAAGACTCAAAAATAAATATGCCACAATCCTGGTTTTTGAGGACATTTTCTATCAAATGAGAAGGAATGAGAGATAAAGATAACAATATGAGGTGGCCTCAAAAAGTCTGCAGGAAAATGCAACTGTCTTTTAATTTCATGTTTCCGGGAGCTTTTTAAAGCAACTTCGGATCAAACGGTAAGTAGCATACTAGGAATTAAACAGAAAGAGCACATTCGCATCTGTGGCATTCTCCTACCCAAGTTGGTTTCAGGAAACAAATCCATTCACATAACTTCTCAAGATTATAAATCTGAACCTACAAATCAAAGCTACCATGAGGAGTTTCTCTTTGACTTGTTCATGCTATTGAGGTTATATATAGATTTTTTTTCTAAAGACCCCAGCAAATGCTGGGCATCTTCCACAGGAATTAGATGCTTTTGTTTTCCTGGGCGTTTTGCTAGCAGTCCAAACCAAAAGAGCCAAATGGAGCTACTGGCTAATCCATTTAATAGCAGCTGCTAACTCCCTTCTCCCAGAACACAAGCCCCTTCTATTTAAAAGATGCCCCTCCAGCAACTTGCTCGTCTCTCAATGATTGAACTACAAAAGAACTCAGAATTCAAATCTTTTAGTCCAATTTTAACAGCTCTAGCATTAAAAATAGGATCTATTAATTCTAAAAAAAAAAAAAAACAAAACAAGTTTTCATCACACTTACCTCAAATTCTTCCCAAAAGCCTTGCTTGACTTTATCTGTGGTCTCCGCTAATTTGCTTAGTTCGCGAACCCGGCTTTCTATTTCAGCAGCATTGATACGTGTTGTGTTGAGGGGCTGATCAAGTTTAGCAGTTGGTGTGAAATGAAGCAAATATTAAAGGAAAAGGTATTAATGCCAAAAGACTTCTTTCTATGTTGGTAACCATCGAGGCAAGGACAGGGAAATCATAGGACACAGTAATTCCTATGAATTCCTAATATTTACAGTTTTCAAACAGTTTCACACCCCGCCCCACCCCCATTTGGTAAGGAAACGTATCTTTCTTCAATCTCCACACATACTTTTTTGATAGGCATCTACTCTGTTGATATAAATTCAAACTCATTTTTCTTTACAAATAGACCGCACAATTAGCTCAAGAAATGTTATCAGTATCCACTAAGTTCTGAAGAATAAATTTTGAAATAACAGTACTTGCACAATGAGTGTGGCACTGTTGGATAAGCACCAGACTGCTAACCACAAGGTCAGTGGTTCAAACCCACCATCTGCTTCTTGGAAACCCTATACAGGATAACTATGAGTCAGAATTAACTCCACTCCACGGCACTTAACAAGAACAATGAATAAGTGTGATCACCTCAAGATAACCAAAAGTGGATCTGCAATGAGAATTTGCTGCAAGAATCCTATAATCTCTTTCACAGATACTTACGAGGATGATATGACATCTGGAATCTGTTCCCAGGTAATACAGAGCAGGGCAGTGGGCAGAAGCATAAACGAAATAAATATTTAATGACTGAAGCTGGGTGGTGGGTACATGGGGTTTCCTGATATGAAGCTGGGTCTACTTCGGCTGATTTGAAATATAATACATTAGGATTTAAGATCCTCAGTGGGAAGGATTGATACAGTGGCTACAACAATGGGCTCAAGTCTAACCATGGTAAGAATGGCACAGGCCTGGTAAGTGGTTCATTCTGTTGTCACAGTGTCGTAGGGTCACTATGAGTTGGAACCTGACAGCAACAACATAAGGAGACAGACTTTAGCTTTCCAATCTGCTCACCTGCTTGAGCTGCAGCACGGTACCCAATGTTTCTACCATCGGATTCTTCTTGTAATGCTCCACAAGATCTGTCAAAGAGTCAAACCGCTCTCCTCCACCAACATCATATTTCAGTTCCTTTCAAGATACAACAATGATGCTTTGTTACCTCTAGGTCAAATTATTGTTTTTCCCAACTGAAGTACAAGGGACTAACTCTTGCCCCAGGAATGTAAAAATCAAACAACTGTACGACCACAAAGCAAAGGAACCAACAAGGATGATGAAAATGGAGACACTATTCAATGTGAAAGAACATATCACTGTTCTCTGTGATGTATGTTGAAAAATTCTAAAAAAGAATCCAATGCTTACTAGTCCACAAAAGAGTTTAGCCCTCCTGAGTTAACCAAATAGTTAAAGAAATAAAAAGCAGTAGTATTCTTTACTATATTTGCACTAAATGATTTCACATAAGGCTACTGAATAGAAGGAAAATAACTACTTTCCTCTGAAATACAATGGACTCTAAGGTGGTGAGGGAGCACCGAAGGCCAACAGACACATCTTTAATTTCATCTTGTAATAAAAATTTAAAAGGGAATTGTAAACAGAGACAAGGAAAATTTTCCTGACAAGATCGGAATAGCCTACTTAAACACAAGAGCAGAAAAATAAGAAAATACAAAGCCCTGTGAAGATATTTGGGTGCTATCCTTATTTAAAAACAAAACTATGACAAGGAAGTACTTTCACAATGACAAAGTAAGGACTTTTGAAAATCCGCTCCTCCATAAAAGCAAACATTGTCAGAAATCTACTTGTTCAGGACCCTGGAAACTAACAAAAAATTGCAACAGATGAAAACTGACACGGCTACAACACAGATAAACCTTGAAAACATGCTAAGTATAAAAAATGAGATTTCATGTATATAAAATATCCAGAACAGATAAATCCATAGAAGCAGAAAGCAGATTCATGGTTGCCAGAGGCTCGAGGAGGGGAAATGAAGAGTGATTGCTAACATAAATATGGTTTCCTTTGGAAATGATAAAAATGTTCTGGATTTAGATCATGTTGATAGTTGCAAAACTTTGAGAACATACTAAAAACCACTGAATGAACTGTATACACTTCAAGAAGAGGAACTGTCTAGCATGTAGATTATATATCGCAATGAAACTATCGTTTAAAAATATTTAAGTAAAAAATAATGAAGCATTAAATGAATAGGGAGCTTCTACTGAGGAAACTACATGCAAACAAAGGAAGGACATCCTTGGTCCAGCCATCACACTGAAAAAAATATAGCATTCAACCCTAGACTGTGGCCACTCAGAGAAAGAGACTTGGAGGCTGACTTCAGCCACAATCAAACAGACACAGATTCAATTTTGCAGGGCAGGTGATGCCCTGAGACGTGACTTAATCTGACAGAGAAAGGCTAGAAATCAGTTAATTTACTGACGTTTGGAAACTATGAAACAATCATGATAAACATGCAACCTCGGACTGACTGAGCAAAGGAAAATCTGACTCTGGCAGGGTAGTATGCGTCTTCTCCCTGAGGCTTTACCTGACAGCGAATCATAACGTGGGTCACTTTAGACTTGCCGTCATTGCTCTCCCCTTTGTCATCACCAGTGCGGACGGAGAGAACAAAATCTCCAGGGTGGCTCTGGCTCTCACGCACAAGAAAGCTACCGTGTTTTCCTTTCTCCGTTAATAATTTCTCTGCTTCTTTCCCAGAGAGGTGTCCATGAAACCACCTAGAGTTTTAAAGATGAGAATCAATTGCTGCTCTGCCATCGAGTCCCAACGTTCGTTCACAGGACTACCATAGTGAGTCAGCACTCCTAAGCACAGACACATCCCTTCTTCAAGGCATTCAATGATTCATCTTAAGGCAAAATTTACATTCCAAAATGGGTGGGAAAAATGGCAGAGATGTTAAGAACAACAAAAACTTCTCCCATGAGTCCACCACCATTTGGAGACTAACATTCTCTATCGTTTTCATTTTCTTTTAAATCTCTCATCTTTTAAAAAAATTACAGTTGATCATTTTTCCAATCGCCCAACCCAAAAAGGACCAATGACACATTCCTCCTAGCCACTTAAAGAAGTTATGATAGAAAGTTCTGGTAGACTCAGAATCATTTTGAAAGTTTGCCTTTACTTTGGCCTTTGAACACTACATAAAAAAATACTTTGATTGTAAATTAATTCTGACATCCAAAATTATTTCTGATTTCTAGGCTATATGTCAAGAGCCTCCAAATTTGCTGTCAATGTCTTTGGGTTATATACTGACTGAGTTATCATCTCAAACTTTAATGCACATAGGGCTTGAAGTAGGAGTGTGTGCAAAAACTGTGGATTCTCAGGTCCAGAAATATCAATACAGTTAAGTCAGGGCTTCTGGTATAGTACCATAGGATCAGCACTGGACTGTGAGCCACAAGATCAGCAGTTCAAACCCACCAGCTGCTCCTTGGAAATCCTACACAGGGTCGCTATGAGTAGAAACTGACTTGGTGACAATTAACAACAAGAAGTCAGGATGGGGCCCAGAAATGTGCATTTTTAACCAGTACACCAGACTGTGGAACATACCCTAACAGAGTCGTATTAATAAGAGGGCTTTTGTTCCCTCAGGATTTTGTAAGAAAGCCAGGTATTATCATGGCAGATAATGCTAATGGTTCATAACTAAAGGAATACACTTCTAAGTTCTTTTTATCCACGCTCAGCTGAACAGAGTGAAATTTATAAATGAACTATGCAAAATTGGCTGGACAGCCTTCCATTTGAAGCTACAGAGGGTAGCCTGAGACACCCATTATCAGCATGTGATAGATTCGAAATAAATGTGTAAGGTGACAAAAACCTACCTGGAGACAGAAAATATACCAACCTAATTAAGAGACCCTGAATTTGTACTGAGCCTGAGAGGGGAATGAAAATGCAGAAAATCAATAAAATCAATACAAAGATATCAAGCTTTAGCCTTCTCCAGCTTAGTCCCTGGAGGACCCTAGGGGGAGCAGGAGGTAGGGTAGATCTCTGAAATAATGCGGTCCGCTCGAAGCAAGGTCATGTTCACACATTTGTGGACTGAGCACAAAAGAACTGACGGCAACTCCCGACTCGTGGAGTTCTCTGCTTTCCCACTCCTGAGCTTAAACTGACATCTGTTGGTGGAGATGCTGAATAACTGGTCAAGAGCTACCACAGAGAACAACTGTTATGATGGAGTCTTGCTATCCTGTTTTTTTCTAGCTCTCAAGAATTAGCAGCGGAACGTCAATCAATCTCAAAATTATTCCAGCACTAAGTAACAACAGGTATCGTCTGAGACCCTGGTAAAATGAGGGTACCAGTGACGGAAGCTTTTGCAAAAAGGAGTCCACTGAGATGAATTGATGCTACTGTCCTGACTTAGTGAAGCTTTCAAGACTGTATCTTGAGAAACAGATACAAACCAAACCCCATCCTTGATGCATGTGAGAAACACTTATAGCCCGGGGAAAGGCACAGAAGCCTAAAACTTAACTCAATGGCACTGACCTTTCTGAGGTAGGATCTGCACAGTTCAGAGGGTATTTGAGCTCAATTACATCTCCATTCTTCTCTTTCAATTGCCCATGATGCTCCATGTAATACTGGACCAACTCAGCCAAAGTGGCAAACTTCTCCCCTCCATACAGGTCATAGTAATCACCAGTGTTCTGAATCTTGATGTGGGTGACAGCTCCATTTCTTCTAAAAAAGGTCATTGGAAGAGGGGACAAAAAACAAAACCAACAAGTGAAGAGCTATTCTAATAAAGACGAAATCTCAGGTTCAGTACCTGATTTCAACTAAATGTAACGAAGTCAAGGAAAGAGCTTATAACTTTCCCATAATAAATGCAATGGGTGGAAATGACATACATTCAGCCATTTCAAAACAACGGCTCTGTATATTGATTGGGTGCTTTATCTTCTGCATCTCTCATTTTGGAAGAGTGTGCCCACAAATTGCATATATTAAATGATAATGATTTTTCCTGTTGTTAATTAATCAAGGAACCATATGATTACAGTTCAACATATACCTAACCTTATGATCCAGCAAATTCACTCCTAAGCATTTTGCCCAGAAGAAATGTATGGCCACCAAATGACATGCATATGAAAGTTCATTGCAGCATTAAAATAGCAAAAAAAGAGTTGAAAATTCAAATGCCCATCACTCAGAAGTGATAAACTGGCAAACGTATGCAATAAAATAGTGCATAGCATTAAAACATAATCAACCACAGCTACGTGGTGCTGCAGGATAATGCGCTGGACTACAAGGTCAGTTTGAAACTCAAGGTCAGCAGTTCAAACCCACCAGCCACTCCTCAGGAACCCTATACAGGGTCGCTATGGGTCAGAACCAACTCAATGGTACTTAACAACAACATTTGTAACTATGGAGTCCTGGTGTGGCACTGTAAGATAAGCACTGGACCACAGGGTCAATTTGAAATGCAAGGTCGGCAGTTCAAACTCACCAGCCACTCCTTGGAAACCATATACAGGGTCACTATCAGTTGGAACCGACTTAACAGCATGTTAACAACAAAAACTGTATCTGTATAGCACTGTAGGATAAGCACTAGGCTGCTAACAGGGAGGTTGGCAATTCAAACCCACCAGCCACTCTCAGAAACCCTATACAAGGTCCCTATAAGTCAGAACCAACTTGACGGTACTTAGTAACAACAGAGAGAGATGTTGTTGTTGTATATATGTGGCAATATGGAAGAAGATCAAAAACAATAGGCTGAGGGGAAAGAAGTTAGACACAAAAGAATATATATTGTAAGACTTCATTTATATAAAATTCTAAAATAAGCAAAACAAATTCACGGGGCGAGAAATGAAAAGAGTGTTGCTTCTTGGGAGAAGAGACTAGAACCTTCCAGAGTGATGGAAATGTTCTATATTTTGATTAGGGTTACAGAAATAAATTACATTTGTCAAGATTCATCTCACTGTATACTTAAAGTACTGTCCATAATTCTATCTTTTAAAATCATTTTAAGATACAAATAATTGACAGTTGCTAGCATAAAACAGCTAATACATTATCCCACTGAGTTCATATAATACTTGCCAAAAAAAATTTCAAACTTGACATTTTCATTTTCCTGGGGAGTGTTAGGATTTCCATTTGGTTTTCAGACCTACCAAACACATCTCAAGGGCACCCATTACTACCTTTGTAAGCCCCAAGGTATCTGGCAACCCCAAAACAGTAACCACTGACCTAGATCTGTTTTTAGTCTGACCCTATTGTTGTTAAGTGCCATCGAGTAGGTTCCGACTCATAGGGACCCTGTATAGGGGTTCCAAGGACCGGCTGGTGAGTTTGACTCTCCAACCTTGCGGTTCAAATTAACAATGCAGTCAAGTGCTTATCCTACAGCACCACACCAGGACTCCTTTTTTTTTTTTTCGACCCTAGAGCATTACTAATAAAACTTCTGAAAAAGTATACTTATATATATATAAATAAAAAAACTAAACAAAAAAATATGTATATGCTTTTCTCAAAGAATAAGGTAAATAGGACCAAAAGAAAAATTGTCCCATAATGTTACTGACAACATTTACTTCTCAATCTTACTGAAAGGAGACCTACTGGTACAGTAATTAAGCACTCAGATGCTAACCCAAAGGTCATTAGTGTGAACTCACCAGCTGCTCCACAGGAGAAAACATGTGGCAGCCTGCTTCGGTAAAGATTATTGTCTTGGAAACCCTATGGGGGCAGTTCTACTAAATCAGTTCAATAGCAATGGGTTATAATTCTTGGTGACCACCTATCCCAATGGAGAAAAAAGACACTCAGGGTCACTTTCTCCTCCCACTACATCTGACTCTTATTTTCAGACTTGGGCTTTCTAAGACTTTATTTAATGGCTTAATACAAAAACAGGTATTTCAGGTATTGTATGCATAAACATATAGCTTATTGTTGCTGTTAGGTGCCTATGAGTTGTAGTGACCTTATCCACAACAGAAACACTCTCTGGTCCTGTACCATCCTCACAATTGTTATGTTTGAACCCACTGCTGCTGCCACTGTGTCAATACGTCTCATTGGGGGCCTTACTCTTTTACACTGACCCTTCAATACATCAAAAACAGGACATTACATGAAAGAAACACAATGCAGAATGATATGCTTAATACGCACCATTTATGTAAATTTTAACAACACAGCCAAATACTATATTTATTATGTTAACTTAGTTAACGAACTAGAGAGCTATCTGGCAAAACAAACTCATGATAATCACCATTTTTGGTCAAAGAGGCGAATGGAACTGAGGGTAGTGGTTAAAAGGAAAATTTTGTTCTGTTTTGTAGAAAAGAAAACGTAATAAAGACAACATGGGTGATTGCTATATAATTTTTTTATCTGTACTTCTTTTCCGCTCAAAAAAAAAAAAGATTTTCCATGACTAACTAAAGATGATGAGGCAACATAATCATCAATTTTTTTTCAACATGAGCACAGAAGAAAGAGGTGAGTTTTCTCACAGGGAGGGAACCAGACCAATACATTTATCATTCATGCATTTATATACACACATCAAAAAGAACATACAACAAGTAAAACAGAGAGGCAGTGTTGTATAGTTGTTCAGAAGCATTGGTTCTAAGGCAGTTCAAAAAATAAGATATAGAAATGGCCTCTGAACTTATGAAGAAAGAGTCCACTTTAATCACAAGAGAAATAAAACTAAACTTCACCATATACCATTTCTCACCTATCAGACTGGTGAAAATGAAACGCTTGACATCCCCAATTGGAGAGGTGTGAAAACCAGGCACTCTTGTACACAACTTCTTGTGTCTAATAATGATTTCATGATGATACAGAGAAATGTCCTAATTCATAGTAGATACATTAAATACTGAGAAGCAAAAAGAATGTAATACCTACAATTTATTTTCAAAGATTGTGGGGGGGCAGAGTATATCTATACATGCAAACACACTTTTAAAGAGAAAAAGCAGTATGCCAATCTCATTGTTGGTGACATTGTTGCTAGGTGCCATAGAGTCAGTTCCAACGTTCCAACTCATAGTGACCCCTCTGCACAACAATACAAAACAGTGCCAGGTGCTGTACATCCTCACAATTGTTCCGTTTGAGCCCACTGTTGCTGCCATTGTGTCAATCCATCTCATTAGGGGTCTTCCTCTTTTTTATCAACCTTCCACTTTACCAAGCACAAGGTCCTTCTCCAGGGACTGGTCCCTCCTAATGTGCCCAAAGCACAAGATATGAAGTCTTGCCATTCATCCTTCAAAGGAGCATTCTGACTGTGCTTCTTCCAAGTCAGACTTGTTCATTCTTCTGGCAGTCCATGGTACTTTCAATATTGGTAGGTGAATGGAATATAGTTGTTCACTGTATTCACCTTCCATTTTTCTACAAGTCTGAAACTTTTCAAACTTAAAAAAAGAGGGGGGGAGAGGGGCGAGGGGGAGGACAGAAAGAAAGCCCACAGATTAGTCCTAGCTCTGGCACTTACAAACAATGAGAAGTAGACCAGGTAGCTTAATCTCTGTGCCTCAGCTTCCTCATCTATTAAATAAAGAAAAATGGTACTTAACTCAAAGGTCTGGGGCAATTAAATAAAATAATGTATAGATATGCCTATTGGTCTCTACCCATCCAGAGCAAAAGGATAAGAACACCACCAAAGACTCAAAGAACGTAGTCTTCATGAACACGGCCTCACCTGTCCTGAGACCGGAAGAACTAGATGTGCCACTACTGACTTTTCTGATCAGGGCCACAACAGATGGATTCAAATAGAACTCCAGAGAATTGTGGAACAGAACCTCAAATTCCTTTTAAAAAATATCTGCTTACTTTTAACTGATGGTATATGGAGGGGATTATAACCAATGTAATGAAACAAGTTATATGAATTGTTGAATGTGAAAATATATATATATATTGAAAGTAAAAAAAAAATATATCTGCTTAACTGGTTGAGACTGGAAAACTTCCCAAGACAGTTACCCTGAGATTCTCTTCAAACCCTGAACTAAAACTAACCTCTGAGCTCACTTTGTAGCTGAAAAACAAATTGGCTCAAAAACCAATGACTATCACCTGTTAAGTAGTGTGTTCCTGTAACAACATCACCCAGATGGTTAACAATTACTTTAAAACAAAGTCAAGAATGTAATGGGGCAAGGAAACTAGATGAATGGAAATGAAATAACCAGAATGGAAAGAATGAGAGCCCTCATGATTTATGAAGAATGGAACAAATGGCACTGAACAAGAAGCTAAAACTGCTCTGTAAACGTTCACATGCAAAAAAAATTTTAAACAATATTGTATGTAAAGCAGTTAGAAAAAAAAACTTGGTATTTGGCAGGTACTCAAAAACATTTAAGGAGCGCTGGTAACATAGTGGTTATGAGTAGGTTTGCTGACCTCAAAGTCAGCAGTTTGAAACTACCAGTCGTTCTGTTCTGCTAGAGAAAGATGAGGCTTTCTGTTCCCGTAAAGATTTGCAGCCTCGGAAACCCTATACAGGGTGACTATGAGTCAGAACCGACTCCATGGCACATAACCACCAGTAACAACAATGTTTGCTATCATCATTGTCACTGTCATGGTGATATTTACGTAATCTCTATCCAAATGCTTACAGCTCAAATGACACATAACAGTAGGCTAGAAATCTGTACTGAGATAAGCCCAAGAAACTTCCAAAGACTCCACCTGTTCCTTGTAACCAAAGAGAAGTAAAAGCTAAGGACAAGCTCCTCATGAAATTGATTTACGCTGAAAAGGGAATTCCCAAATCTCTGAGAGATTCTAAATAAATTCGCAAGAACAAACTTTACCTACTTCTCTATTTAAAAGAACAATAATAAGAGTACACTCATAAAGCAGTTCAGTTTTAGCTTCTGGAATGAGCTAGAATAAAAAAACTAAGGATGCAAGAGTGTCAGTTTCCAAAAAACTTTCGCACACATGCTCAGAGAGACAAGTAACAGACTATTCACTGCCATTAACCACAAAACCCAACCTACTGTCATCAAGTCAATTCCGACTCATATCGATCCTGTAGGATAGAGGAGATTCATCCCTACGGTTTCCAAGGCTGTAATCTTTATGGGAGCAGACTGACACATCTTTCTCCCTCAGAGCAGCTGATGGGTTCATTCAAACCTGCAACTTTTCGGTTAAGCAGTTAAGCACTTAATCACTGTGCCACCATGGCCCTTCTTCACTGTCATACTGTTCAGAAAAGTTTAAAAAGCAGGAAACAGCCCAGTATCAAGCACTAGGAGACTGGGTAAGCTGCAGAATGTTCACATTACTTTTATACTACATAGCTGCTGAAATCAATAATACAGAACTGGAAAATGTAACCAAGCAAGTTGCAGAATGGTACTGACGTTATATAGTCATTTAAAATGGTGCGAATTTTAAAAACATAAAAAAATGACCTTATATAGGTTTAGGTTGTACAAGCATAGAAAAGACATAAAAGCAAGTTCAGGAAGGATAGATGCCAACCTATCAGCTGTGGTTTCCTCTGGTGACAGAGGGCGGGGCATGCGACTGGACATGGGAACACAGGGGACCACAACTTCCTCAGTAATGCATTATTCTTTGAAAAAGAAGTGATATGAAAAAAAGGCTCTTCAAACAATATTTGTCCCACTAAGAAATAAACAGAAGGTATAATTTGGGAATGAAGAAGGATGGGAGTTGAACAAGATACATATAATTAATGTCACTGAACTTAACATGTAAAGATGGTCTAAATGTCAATTACTGTGCTACATATATATTTATATCAACAAAATAAATATGAGAAAAATGCAGGGAACCAGACACAAGGAATGGAACCAGAATCCAGCACTGGTCGTTAAGTGCCATCAACTTGGTTCCAACTTGATTCCAACTCATAGCAACCCTGTCTAGCGTTTGGAAGGAGCAGTTAGTGGGTCTGAACCACCAACCTTGCAGTTTAAATCAACCTTGTGGTCCAGAGCATTAACCTGCAGGACCACTAGTGGGTTTAAATCCATATGGAAGACCACAAAAGACGGACCCTGATAGAATGAAAGAAAAATGTTAACACTTCGAATTAAAAAAAAAAAACTTAGTGGACTGGTTGAGACTGGAGGACTGCCCAAAACTATTGCCCTGAAATTTCCTTCAAACTTTGAACTGACACTAACGAATCTGTGAGGTAAGCTTATAGCTAAATAACAAAGTGGTTCACAAAATAATGAGTGTCACTCATACGTGTGGTGCTCCTTTAAAGAGTCACCTATGTGAGACCTAACAATCAACTGCTACTCTAAAACAAAGATGAGAAAGAATGTAAGGGGGGCAAGGAAAACACATGAATAGAAATGGAACAACCAGAATGGAAATAATGAGAATGTTCACACGTTATGGAGAATGGAATCAATATCACTGAACAACTTGTATAAAAATGGTTGAGGGGAAACCTAAACTGATGTGCAAACCTTCACCACAAACACAGTAAGTTATTATTTTAAAAAAAGGAGAAGAATGAGTATGGACCATTCCAACTCATCCTCTATGGTTTCTCATGGGGGGCAGAAAAACGCCTCACCCTCCACCATCATGCCCCTTTGGCTGAGTTCCCTCCCAGGCCTCTCATTCTCAGGAGGCCACTCCCCAAGCCCCAGAGATCAGGCTGACTCACCTCTGATCTGTGGCCAGTGCTCAGGTATGGCATCACAGCAGGTAGCAGACAGGCCTTCAAAGGTGACATGAGGGTGGTGGTGGTAGCTAGGTGCTGTGGAGTCAGTGTGGACCCTGTACAGGGTTTCCGAGGCTGTAATTTCTTACAGGAGCAGAAAGCCTCATCTTTCTCCCACAGAACAGCTGGTAGTTTCGAACTGCTGACCCTGAAGTTAGCAGCCCAATTTGTAACCACTACACTACCAGAGGGTTTGGTTGGTTGGTTATGTGCCGTGGAGTCGGTTCCAACTCATAGCGACCCTGTACAGGGTTTCCGACGTGTAGTCAGTTATAATGTCACCATTTCTTACCTGGAAAATACTGCCAAGGTTCTCTGTTTTACTTCCAACTTACCTAACAGACAGTGTGAAGTCTCCTGGGTTACTTTTACTGGGTCTTGCCAAAAAACTGCCATCAACTCCTCTTGTCAACAGTAGGTTTTCTGCCTCCACACCAGTGATATTTGGGTGAAACCATCTTGAAAGACAGAAAAGAGAAAAATGAAAACCAAGGACTTTGCCAGCACTACCTTCCAAAGCCATCACAACTAAAATGCTTACTGTTGTTGTTGTTGGTAAGTGCTGTCGAGTTGATGGAGTGTTTTCGAGGAGTGGTTAGTGGGTTTGAACTGCCGACCCTGCGGTTAGCAGTCCAGTGCTTACCCTACAGCTCCACAGCAAGACTCCAAAATGTCTATAAGTAGCTGATAAAATACAAATCAAAACCTCCCCTAACCTTCCCCACTCTTCTCCGTGGCTGCCATCCCATAGGTGGGGCCAGGCTCAAAATCACAGTCTACATGATCAGGACACTGAGGACACAAAGTTGTTGCTGTTGTTGTTTAAGTGCCATCAAATCGGTTCCAACCCATAGTGACCCTGTATAGGATTTTCTGAGGAGTGCCTGTTGAGCTTGAGCCGCCAACCTTGAGGTTCAAACTGACCTTGTAGTCCAGTACATTAATCCATAGCACCACACGAGGACACAGAGTAAGACTAAGCAAATAAGGATATATAATTCAATAACTGATAAATAAGTAAACATGCAGAGGATAAGTTTTTTCACTGCTGGAGCAGGCGCTACAAATATGGAAAGGGAAAGAGTCAGAATAAACCCTGTGATGTTAGGCTGGAATTGAAGGCAACAGTATATGCTCTCGTTTTTACCACAGATCTACGTTGTTGCTGCTGCTACTAAGCCATTAGATTGGTTGTGACTCAAAATGACCCTGTATAGCATTTCCAATGCCATAAACCTTTGCAAGAGCAGAAAGCCTCCTCTTTCTTCTGTGGAGCAGCTAGTGGCCTTGAACCAGCAACCTTGTGGTTCACAGTCCAGTGCTTATGCTACAGAACCACCACACCCCTTACAGATATGTACATAGACATAAAAATATAAATATATGCATGTATGTATATTTAGTAGTTGTTGTTGTAGTTAAGTGCCATTGAGTCCATTCTGACTCAGAGCGATCCTGTGTAGGGTTTCCAAGGAGCAACTGGTAAACTGCTGACATTGTGGTTCACAGCCCAGGACAAATCCTACAGCACCACACCAGGAGTCCGTGTGTGTAAAGGAACTCTGGTAGCATAGTGGTTATGAATCAGGCTTTGAACCGCAAGGTCAGCAGTTCAAAACTACCAGCTGCTCCGCGGGAGAAAGATGAGGCTTTCTGCTCCCGTAAAGATTTACAGCCTCAGAAACCCTGTTCAGGGTCGCTATGGGTCGGAACCAACTCGATGGCACTTAACAACAACAACAAATTATATATATATATATATATATATATATATATATCATGGATGGATGGATGGAAACTAAACTAATGGAAATCGAACAACCAGAAGAGAAATAATGAGAATGTTCAAACCAGTCACTGAACAAATTGTGTAGAAATTGTTACAGGGAATCTATATGTGTGTGCATGTATGTACTTAAGTGTGTATTCTCACACAACACATATTTTCTTGGCTCTCTCTTTTGAAAGGACCTGGAAGCAAAGATACCTCAGCATCAACCAGCACACCTAGCACCCTTACCTTAGTTTCTCGATACCATTCTGGTCTCCTTAGGGAAATGTGTGATTCCATGCTAGGAGAGTAAAAGCAAAGGAGCTTGGAACATCTTACTGGGCCAGAATAAAGAAGAGTTTTAATAATAATGAGGACTGTGTTAAAAGGACACAGGAGTTAGCTTTGTTGTTGTTGTTGTTGTTAAGTGCCGTCGAGTCGGTTCCAACCCATAGCGACCCTGTACAGGGTTTCCGAGGGTGTAAATCTTTACGGGAGTAGAAAGCCTCATCTTTCTCCCGCGGAGCAGCTGGTAGTTTCGAACCACTGACCTTAAGGTTTGCAGCCCGATTCGTAACCACTACGCTACCAGAGCTCGGTGTCAAAATAAACATGAGTGGTGGTGGTGGTGCTTATGTGCCGTGGAGTCGGTTCTAACTCATAGCGACCCAGTACAGGGTTTCCAAGGCTGTAAATCTTTACAGGAGCAGAAAGCCTCATCTTTCTCCCACGGAGCAGCTGGTAGTTTCGAACTGCTGACCCTGAGGTTAGCAGCCCAATTTGTAACCATTATGCTACCAAAGCTCCTTAAACAATGAGTAGCAGATGATAATCCATTAAATTAAACAGAAAACTATGAGTCAATTAGTTGGTTGGTTGGTTGGTTGGCTATGTGCCTTGGAGTCGGTTCTGACTCATAGCACCCCTGTATAGGGTTTATCTGTATTGTCTCTTATGGCAAAAAAGATAAGCGTTAATACAGATATTAATTTTTGTTTATTATTTTAAAAATATATAGGGAAGGGGGGTAAAGCTCCTTGTAGTAGAATCACAAATAATGAAATATAGAAGGAATTCAAAAATCACCATATGGCCACCATCATGGTAACAGTTAGGCACGAATCACCAATGAATGCTAAAACTAGGGACAGGATATTTAGAGAGATTCAAAGAATCACCCTACCAAATCCTTATTAATTACTTATTAATAACAAAAAAATACTAATGAACTTTACACTGGAGAAATCTGATAGATACCAAGTGATAAAATTTACAATCACCAGTAATGGGTTAAAAATTGACATTTTGTGCCCCTTGCTCCGATACACTGAGAAAGGTATCATTGGTGGAGGTGGCTGTTTGCCCTAGAGTTGTTTCCAACTCATAAAAACCCTGTATAAAGTTTCCAAGACTGCAACTCTATGGGAGCAGAAAACCTCATCACTCTCCTGTGGAGCGACTGGTAGATTTGAATTACTGACCTTGCGGTTTGCAGTCCAACTTGCAACCCACTATGCTACGAGGGCTCCTTATTTCTGTGATAGTCTTGCCAAAAATGCATTATTTAACAGTAATGATGAAGAATGTCAGATACACTCAAAATGAATGACAGTCTACAAAGTAATTGCTCAGTACTCTTTAAAAATTCAGAACCATGAAAGGTGGGGAAGGACGCAGGGAGCTGAGCAATCATTCCAATTGGCACTGTAGGATAAGCACTGGATTGCAATGTTGGTTTGAATCATACACTCGGTGGTTCAAACTCACCAGCTGCTCCTCAGAAATGCTATAGAGTCTCTGAGTCAGAACTGACTTAACCCCACTTAACAACAACAATCAAATACAACACATGATCCTGGATTATATCATGGGTTTGAAGAAAAGGGGAGGAAAGGGAAGTAAGTTTGTTGTTTGTTTTATCTTTTGCTAAAAATGACATTACTAAAACAATTTGAAAGGCGTCTAAGAATGAGACAGCAGTACAGTATCAATGTAAATTTCCTGATTTGGATGCATGTACTGTGGTTAGTAGATTAGTGTCTTTATTTTTAGGAATGACACACTAATGTATTTATGCACAAATGAGGAGATCTGGTGGCACAAATGGTTAAACACTCAACTGCTAACTGAAAGGTTGGTAACCCAAACCCACCAGAGGCTGCCCAGGAGAAAGACCTGGTGATCTACTTCCACAGAGATCACAGCCAAGAAAACCCTTGGGGGCAGTTCTACTCTGTCACATGTGGTCACTACGAATTAGAAATGACTCAATGACACCCAGCAACAACAACATATTTGGGGAAGAGACAAGAGTAGGAAAAGGGGAGGGAGGGAGTAGACAGAGGAAAACGTGTCCAACTGTTACCAAGGAAAAAATTTGGGATTAAAAAACTAAGCAGGAATTCATTATACTATTCTTGTAGGTTTTCTGAAAATTTGAAATTAGTTCAAAACATTTAATATATATATATATTTTTTTAAGCTTTAAAAGACACACAAGTAACGAAATCTACCGAGGATAGCATTGGCTTCAGAGGAGTACTAGCTAGTTCCCAGCAAGAGTTTTTACTTGATGGAGTCTAAAAGTCACCAACATTCATGGTCAGAGAAATTATTAACAACAAATTATCTTGGACCTTTAAATATCCAAAGGAGCATAAGTCAGCACTGAACATACAATCCTGGCAATGACAACTCGTTGAACTTTAAAAGACTGCTCAACAAATACTGGACCAATTAAAGCATTTAATTGAAGTAGCAAGATAATGCAAGAGTGAAGAGCTGTCCTCATCATGCATTAAAGATGCGGAAGCTACAGGAGGAGGGCATAGAATGTGTACTTAATTGCTTCCAGGAATAACTGCCTCCTTTGCCATCAGACCAAAAGAACTGGATGGGGATAGTGACTGGCTACAATCACTGAACACACTGGTCAAAAATTTTACATAAGAATCTTGATCAAAAGGAGAAAATGCAGAACAAAATTTCAAATTCTCATGGACGCCAGACTTCCTGGAGCCATGAAGGTTGTATGGACTTCTAACACTTGCTCTGATATAATCTTTAAATCTTAAACCACAAATATTCCCTGAAGTCATCTTAAAATAGGACAGAAGTTTAGCTTAAACAGCTAAAAGGTCTGCCTTGAGGATTCTGCTCTCTTAAAAACTCTCTCTATGGGATCAAATTGACAAGAGCAACTCGAAAGATTAGATAGGAACCTTGGGGGGCAGTGAGCCCATGTTCGTGAGGGACGAACAACTCACATAAGGAGGGAGAGACTTGTTGCACAAGTCAAAGAATGTCATCATGTCATAGAATTGTATACTTAAAAATGGCTGAAGGGTGTCTTTTACCAAGTATATATTTTTCACACACAAAAAAAATATTCTGATATAGAATACAAGGGATCTTCAAAACCTTCATGGACAATGGGTTTTATGAGAAAACTACACATGAATTTCAGTTTTTATTTTTTTTCGCACCAAAATAAACTTGTTATAACATTTCTGAACAGGATCTAGTTTGAGGCACTAAGGAAGATAAGACATCAGTTTGAAAAGAGCCCCTTTCAGAGCAACATGAACTCTGCTAAAAGTGAAGCAAAAACAAACATCAATTTATGGTGAAGTTTGGGTGGAAGAATGGTGAAGTCATTCACTGATGCTCTGCAAAAAGCTTATAGGG